GGGGGGGGGGGGTGAAGAGGTGGTATAGATAAATAGCTGGATCACCCTATTCACAGAAAACCCAAAACACAAGAGCAAAATACAATATGGGCTTTTAACTCCAAATTTTTATTTCAAATGCAAAATACAGACAGAAAATGAGAGGAGGAAACCAGCCACAGAGGTTTATTCATACATATATCTAAACCTGAGTACAATCACCAAAAAAGTAAATGATATCAGCAGGAATGCTTTAATTTGACATTTCTGTGTAGCTACAATAATCAACGGATATTCAATCGAGGGTGCCCTAAAGCACTGCAAATTCTTGAGATTATTTCTAAAGTAGAAGGGAACGAGCTTAGGTTCGGTAGTTCTATTACTAATATATTTGAAGCATTTTAACCCTTTGGGAATGAGTAAGCTAAACTATAAACATCTGATGGCAGGGACCCTGGATTCTTGGTGCACCATCGAGTGCCCAAGTGAGCACAGAACTTGGGAGACCACGTGTGTGGTAGACAGACCTGCACACCAGCTGTGACACTACCAGTTCCCTGCCCTCCATCAAATCTCCTCACATATGAAATGAGCCATTAATTATGCCATGGCCAGTGTTGCTCAATGGTTAGAGCATCAGCCGGCACACCAATGACTCTTGGGTTCGATTCCCAGTCAAGGGCACATGCCGGGGTTGCAGGTTCAGTCCCTAGCCCCAGTTTGGGCGCATGCAGGAGGCAACCAATCGATGTATCTCTTTCACATTGATGTTTTTCTCTCTCTCTCTCTCTCTCTCTCTCTCCCCTATCTCTCTTTCTCTCCCCCTCTCCCTTCCACTCACTCTAAAAAAAATCAATGGAAAAAATATCATTGGGGAAGGATTATCAAAAAAAGGGGGGGGCATTAATTAAATAGTACCCATTTCATAGGGATGTTGTGAGAATTAAATAAGATGGAGAACAAGAATGATTCACAGAAATGAATGAAAAACTAAGAACAATTTGCAGAAATGAAACAATTATTAATGATTCAGTTACTCTTTTCTGTTCAGAGTGCCCACCCTCCTTGGTTAATCAAGTTTGCTACCAAATAAGTTCACTATGTTTGCCACTCTAAATTTTCTCTTTCATGATCTAAAAATTGCTTCTTTAAGATAGTGTGAAATTGTGTATGTGTTTTAATCTGATAAATTGGGAATCTGACATCAATTATGTTGCAACTGATAGGAAAACTCTATGTGGTGAGAAGGAAAGACTGACAGATTAGAAGCATAGGAAGCGCATTTCCTCAAAGGTAGGTAACACTGATAAATGACATCTTTGTAGAACAACCTCTCTGCACCTCACCTCCTTGCAGGCAAAACAGCTTGGCAGGGATCAGAGTGTCCACATGCATGGCACACCCACCTGTCACTCAACCTGGCCCTGCTGATAGGCTGGCCATTTGGCTCAACACTCAAGACAGTGACACCACAAAGCAATCTCAAGGTAGGGGCATCCTTGAGAGTTTGGACCCAATGCCAGCTTTCACAAATAGAGCAAGAAAACGAGCCATCGCCTTGCGAAAGCATCCATCTGGCAAGCTTCATTTAATTATCATGGGCAACTGTGTAATCAGACTGGAAAGTAGGACACAACACACACAAAAGTGGAACTTTAGGAGAGTGCTATTGGCTGGAGACTTGCAGGTGCCATTCAGTGGGTGTCTCTCGAGTCAATTCAAGTGTCACTTCCTTTTTCAAGTCATCCTCAACTCTCCAAAGCCAAGGTGGTTGATCCCTTCTCCCTATTCCCGCAGCATCTCAGAGCGCCAGACACTCATCCAGGATCCTGGTCTGCCTCCTGCACCAGGCTGCGCATTCTCAGGGCAGCAACCACGTCCTACTGGTTGTACCTCTGACCCCTAGCCGAGTCCTACCTGTGCTGGACACACAGTAAGAGCTATTGAATGATGAAGTCTCCCCCAAAGGAACAAGTCCCTCAGGTTCCAAAGGAATCGATTAGAGTCACAAGAAAGGACCTGGAAAAAGAGTCCAATGGCGACGTTCCTGTGCAGGGGCACTATTTACACTACTTGTGCAAAAGTAAGAAACTCGCATGCATACTGGGACATGTGAACTCTTTTTAATGATGAGATTAATGTTGAAAGGGGGGACCCACATCACAGAGGCAGCAAAGATAACGAGGCAGGGAGAAATGGGAAGGGGTTCATAAGCCAGATCTCATACCAACACTCCTTTTGTCGTTCATTCTTCCTAAGGCCCCATGACTCAATAGGAAAAAAGGGCTGAAAGGATACCTTAAGATGTTAACAATGGTTATCTCTGGGTAATAGGGTTATGGATCATTTCTATTTTATTCTTCTGTTTTTAAAAAACCCTTTTTAAAACATTTTTGTTTATAATGAACATGTAGCTAATAATGAAGCTATAAAACTTTTTTTAATTAAAAAACTGGAACAGCTCAAAAATTATATAATCAATCACATTTAACTTTGGTAATAAGTGCTCCCGGTCCAAGCCTTCCAGCGTGACACCTGGCAGTAGTTACACAACGGCCGGGGCTGGCAAGTGGTGTGGTCCGGCTGGCCTACTTGCTCCTGTGTGCTGGTTAATTAGGCCAATTTTTCAGCTACTGTCCCAGTCATAACCTAAAGCTGGTGAAGCAGCATTTGTCCTGTTGGGCCTTAGGTTGCTCAACCAAGCTCAGAGGGTCCTCAAACTTCAGCGTGCATTAAAAGTACTAAGAGGTCAAAATGCAGATTCCTGGGCCCCACCCACAGAGATTTAGTAGGTTAAGGATCTGACCTAGCAGTGCACTTTTTAAAAGTACCTTCAAGGGATGCTTGATCAGGCCAGGACAAGGGTAAGGCAAGAAAAGCACTTAGGATGCAGAATTTAAGAAGGCACTCACCCTTGAGGTCCTGCAAGTACAGGGTTGGCACCATGAGTGAGCACTTCCTTGAATTTTGCCTCTCTTGCCCCACCCTAATCCCAGCCCTGTCCCCAGTGCTGGTGACGAGAGACCCTGTTCCGAACAGGCTAAGTGGCATGATGACAGTTTGGGCTGTACATGACAAGTTGCGCTATGAAAATGTTTAATGCATAAAGAATAAGCTAGGTATAAATCTGATTCCTAAAAATGAAAATCTGGGCTCATCTGCATTTTGTAAGTGTCTTAAAGCACTGTGGAAGGCACGAAATATACATTTTACTTTTAAAGATACATAACCCTCTGCAATTCTCCAGGTTAAAGCTAAGATATGGTTTCTTAGATATTCTGCAACCAGCAGGATTCCAAATGACACTTTCCCTAATTCCTCCCAAGTTGGAGGTGTAGATAAGCCTAAGAGGTGTATAAGTTATGTGTTTCCTGTGAAGATAAAAATAGTCCCTTTCTCCTCTCAAAATACTGTGGCCTTGAGCCATTCTGGTCTCCAATGGCACTAATCAGCTTCTAGGCAGATGTCAGAGTGCTTATAATTCCTACTGAGAATTTATTGCTCATGCAATTAAAAATCCTAACCATTCGCTGATTTACCCCACAGACTTAAGTCTTCAAATAATAAAAGATTAAACAAAAAAGAATCATAAAGATGAAATTGTTATTGAGATAAAATTCTATATAACATTATATGTTTCAGGTGTGCAAATTTGGTATTTGCATATAATGCAAAATGACCACCACACAGAGTTAACATCCATCACCACGCAGTTATAAAAATTTTTTTTCTTGTGATGAGGACTTTTAAGATCTGCTTTCTTAGCAACTTTCAAACATGCAGTACAGTATTAACTAAAATCACTCTGCTGTACATTATATCCCATGACCTGTCTATAGTATTTTATAACTGGAAGTTTGTACCTTTTAACCACCAACCCCCTTCATCCATTTTGCCCACCCTCACCCCCCACCTCCTCCTGGCAATCACCAGTCTGTTCTCTGTATCTGAGTTTATTTTTAAAAATATTCCACATGCAGGTGAGATCATATATTTGTCTTTCTCTGTCTGACTTATTTCGCTTAGAATAATGCCCTCGAGGTCCATCCATGTTGTCACAAATGGCAAGATTTCATTCTCTTTTACAGCTGAATAATATTCCACTGTATGTATACACCACATTTTCTTTCCTTTCATCCACTGATGAACACTTTGATTGTTTCTGAAATGAACTTGGTTTTCTGATTGTAGTTCTGGTGTTTAATGGCAATGCAGCAATGCTCTGTAGCAATCTGCCCCTATCCTGGTGCGGGTCTGAGTCAAATTCACATTCCTGCCATAATACCATTATAATAAAGAAACTTAAGTCAGCTAAAACAGGATTATAGAAAAACTCAGGTTAACTTTTACTTATAAAAGGATTACACTTTTTCAAAACCCCAGAATAGATATTTTGAAAATATATTTTGTTTTGTACATTCTTAAAGAGAGCCAGAAACTGGCATATGCACACTTTAACAGAAGTTTGTTTAACAA